CATTTATAAAATACAAAATTTTATTATTTTTTTATTCTTTAGAATCTCACTTGAGTGTCACTATTGCACACATATATAACTATATAAATTAAGTGAGTGTCATACTCTTTTTTAATATTTAATTTAATCTTAAAATATAATTTAAGACCCTGGATTCACCATTAAGGATGCTTTTAGTTGTATTAATATACTTACGAGGGCAACAGAGTCACGAGCTGCTAAAGTTAAAATATCAGCACAAGAGACAACCCCAGGACATGCAGCCTCGAGCTGTCTCTTGGCATCTTCGATGACCTCAAAACCACGGAGGTTAAAGTTTGCACCCGCGGTTCTTTCAGTGTTAGGTCCTGATATAAGCACAGAACCATCACAACCTTGGACGAAGCAATCATGGAAATGCATTCTCAGTAACCCGGGTGCAATCTTTGGATCTGAACCGAAGTGAGATGTCACGGTGGTCCGAACAATCGCCTCGGCATTAGGGCACGTAGTCGAGTAGAACCCGATCCTCGTGCCTTGACCGTAAACTACGATGAGAGAGCTAAGGAAGACTATGAACGAGCATAATGATCGAACAAACCCCATTTTTTCTTTTTGTTGTGTGTTTGAGTTTGTTTAGATGCATGGAAAGTGATAGCAGAACGTGACTAACTTGTAGAGATTAGAGGGGTTGAGAAAAGTAAAAGAATGACGTTGACGTCAACGAAATCGGCTACAGTGTTTTGATAAAACGACGACGTTATGACCAATAACAAAACACTGAAAAGCGCGTTTTGTAATTGGTCAAGTGCCATGTGAGCTGGCTCCGCGCGTTGACGTTGTTTCTTTCGTTCGTTTCTGTTAATTAACTAATTGTGTAATCACTATGTTGCATGTGATCGTATAGTGTTCTCTTCTTGTTGGAGTTTAGTTTTAATTCAACGTGTAATTCTTTATTACGACTACTCGTATAGTCGTGAGGATAAATTTCATTTTAAAATGCACCGACTTAAAAAAAAAAAGGTAATCCAGTCCAGGTCAAACTCGGCTCATTCTATCGATGGGCAAATCCGTTACGAACTGACGTACATGCACAGAGAAATATCGAAGCCGGACTCCAATACCAAAACTGGTCCAATCGCGTCCAAATTGTTTCAAACATATTAATTGTCAGGTTTAAAACACCAAATTCGGATTGGTTGATCCAATAAATGTTCACATAGCTATCGAGTGAGAGTCATTATACATTAAACTAAATCATAAAATTCCTTCTTTTTTTTTAAGATAACTAGGACTATGAGGGTTCGGACGTAGACCTTAATCCCTTCTCAATGGTCCAGTACCAACCTTTGTTAATATCTTATAACATAGCCGTAAACATTACAAGAAAACACTCCAATTTTAACCATTAATTTGGTTTAAAATTGGTCAAAAACAGCTAATTCTGACTAGTATTTGACCAAAATCGATTCGTCAAAAATCGGTGGTCGCAAATAGATTTTGATAAAAAAATAGTCAAAAATTTTTGACCAATAAAAATGGTAAAAAATTTAGTTCTAACCAACAAAGTGGTCGGAAGTTTTTGAGCAATCAAAATGGTCAAAATTTTGGATCTGACCAATAAAGTGGTCGGAAATTTTTGACCAAACAAAATTGTCAAAATTTTGGTTCTGACTAATAAAATGGTCGAAATTTTTTGATCAATCAAAATGGTCGAAACTATATGTTTTGACCAATTTTCGACTATATATTCCAACCAATTTTTTACCAACTTAAATTTTAATTTAAAAAAATTATATTCGAAAATATTGAAATTCAAATTTAAAATATTTGATTCATAATAATTAAATTGAAATTAAATATTTTAAAATAATTAAAATATAAAAGAAAACACAAATAAATATTTTTGTTATCCAATCAATCATGGATTAAAATATTTCAATACAAACTATTTGGACTATGGTAAGCCTATTTACGTTTTTCGGAATGGAGTAAGTGTTATTTTATAGAGAAAGTCAATGATTCATCCCTCTCATATTGTCGATATGGTACAAAAGGCTATACATGATCAGTATTTGGTCGATAATGTTGTGACCAATTTCTAAAAAGTATTTGATCGTCAAAAATTACTCACGAATTTTTGACTAAATTTTGTTTTAGTCAATAAATGATAATAATATTTTGACTATTTACTGACCATTTGTATTAGTCAAAAAAATTTGATCATATTTCGACGAGTTTAAATTTTCATAATTTTTTGGTCGAAAATTTGTCAATAAACTTTTTGACCATTTTACTAGTAGAAAATATGGTAAAAAATTAACGTCTTTTCTTGATCAATTTTAAACCAATCTTCTTTGTCGCAATTTTTTGACCATTTTTGACAAATTTACGAATCCATTAAAAATTGATCGATTTCGACCAGTTTTCAACTCATATATTTTTTCATATTTTTTTTGACCAATTTATAACGAAAATAAACATTCGTTTAAATTGGTCGAAAATTATCAAAATAGTTTCCCACAAAAAATTGGTCAAAATTTGATATGTTTTTTTGTAGTGAAAGTATTTTTTCCTCCGACACTGAACTAGGAGGGCAACATGACTAACCCCTATACTTAACAACTAGTCCACAACATCATGTGGTCAAAAGATACATGATATATATAGAAAAATATATCATCAATTAATAATTACATATCATTAGACAAAAAGACAAAAAACATTAAATCAAAGAATGGAAAAACTCGTGATATCATAGCGAAAAACTTACATAACAAACTTGCGGTGGTGGATATAAATACTTTTCTCAAGAAAAAAAATTGGAAATATCAAAATATTCATCGTTCGTCATCATAATTATTTGCACTACAATAGTGAAAATCAAGCATGCTAGTGTTTGATCTGGTCCATACCGAACATAAATAATCAATCCAAAAATTGAATTATAGTTCAATATAGTTAAATGGATACACCTTTTATACATCTATATAATCGAATATGTAACTCAACCGGTCCGTAAATGAGAAAAGGAACTAATTTCAAAAATTTCTTTAAAGACTAGTGATATATTGACCAAAACATGAATCCAAACTGAAACAAAAATCATACCACGCCATCGTAGATTATGTTTTACTTTGTTTACTATTTTCATAAACCAAAATTTTAAAACCGAAATCCAAATTGAACACTTCTACCAATATACACAATATATACTGCTAACGAATAATCATTAATATGCAGACAAAAAAATTGTTGTTGGTCCATTGGAATTTGTTTTTTTCTATATTGAATTCAGAAAAAAAAATTGTAACAGAATAATCATAACATATTGATGAGATTCTCGATTCTTGAGTCGGTAAGGGATACGCTTTGCATCTAAAAAATCGTAGAATCTCAAAGATTAAAGGAT